TTGAGACCCACCTGGGCAACTTGGCAAGACCTCGCCTCTACAATAAATAAAAAATTAGCTGGACATGGTAGTGCATGCCTGTAGTTCTGGCTACTTGGAAGGCTGAGGCAGAAGGACTGCCGGAACCCAGCAGGTCAAGGCTGCAATGGCCAGGAACATGCCACTGCACTCTAGTCTGAGTGAGACTCCAACGCAAAAAAAGAAAAAAGTTGCTACTCCTATGTTGGGTGCATATATGTTTAGGATGAATATTTCTTGTTGATGGATTGAACCTTTTATCATTATGTAGTGACCTTCTGTATCTTTTTAAATTTTTGATAGCTTAAAGGATATTTTGTCTGATATTAATGTGATTCTTGCTTTCTTTTGTGTTTTATTTGCCTGGAATTTTGTTTCCCATCCTCTTACTTTGAGTCTGTGAGTGTTCTTTCTGGTGAGATGAGTTTCTTGGAGACAATATATTGCTGCCTCATGATATTTTATCCATTTTGCCATTCTATGTCTTTTAAGTGGTGTATTTAGTCCATTCACATTCAGGCTAATTATTGAAATGTGAGAGTTTATCCCTGTAATGAGGTTCTTATAGAGTTTGTTGTTGTTGCTGCTGTTTGTTTTCTTTTTTTTTTTGATTTTTGGGGTTGATTCATATGTGTTTTCAATCTTTTTCCTACAGTCTTGTGGAGGGCATTGTTGTTCTTTTTTTTCTTCTGTGGTTAATACTTTCTTAAGTGTTTCTTATAGAGCTGGTCTGGAGGCAGCATAAGCTCTTAGGGATTGAATGTCTGGGAAAGATTTTAATTCTTTGTCACAGATGAAGCTTAGTTTAGTTTAGTAGGTAATTCCTGGTTGAAATTGTTTATCTTTGAGAACTTTGAAGATTGGACTCCATGCTCTCCTTGCCTGAAGTGTTTCGTGGATAAGTCTGCTGCTATTCTAACTGGTCTTCCTCTGTAGGTAGTCTGACCTTTTTCTCTTGCTGCCTGTAGGATTTTTTCTTTTATACCTACTTTGTGTAGGCGAATTACTATGTGTCTAGGAGTTGGACTACTCATTTGTCATCTTGCAGAGGTTTACTGAATCTCTTGTGTTTGAATGGTCACATCACTGATGAGATGAGGGAAGTTTTCTTGGATAATTTCATGGAATTTTTGTTCTAGGGTGGGCTCTGCCTCTCTGCCTCAGGAAGTCCAATTAATCTTAGGTTCGGTCTCTTGAAATAATTGTTCATCTCTTGAAGGTTTTGCTCTGTCTTTTTAAGCTTCTTTTCCATGATTTTGACAGTTTGGGTTAGTTCCATATTTTTGTCCTCAAGCTCTGAGATTTTTCTGCTTAGCTAATTCTGCTTTCTATGCTTATCAGTTTGTTATTTATTTCATTCATGGTATTCTTTATTGCTGTTATCTCAGTTATCAACTCTTTCATTCTTTCTTCTTGTCTCTCCTCGATTCTGTTTCTTCTCTCTATTAATGTCTTGATATCTGGGTTTGTGGTTTGAGACCAGTCATTCTGGGGGCTCTTCTTTGTTTGTGTTCCAAAATCTGTATTCTCAGTGGCTGACCTTCCAGGGGGTCTGTGTGAGACCCATATTCTTCTTTTGGTTTTTCTTAATTTGTGTAGGTTTTTCTCCCTCCTTTTCCCCCCTCTTCTTTAATTCTGTTGGTTAGGGATGGAGCAAAGCTTTTACTTCTATTTTCTTCAATCTCCTATTCTTCCTTATATGGATCCTCTGGCTTTGTTCAATTCTGAAGCTGGTCTGTGGTGGGAGGCTATACTTTTTGCAGTTTTGAGATTTAATTGAGGGAGGAACTGTGATTCAGAAATGATCTGCAGATCCCAGTATCCACTGACAGGAACCCCTGGAACCTGCTTCCCACTGCCTTACAATCTGTCCATGCAGTGGGGATATAGATTTGCTCCCTGAAAGCAAAATGAGGTAAGAAAAAGGAAACAATGGAAAAAAGAAGGACAGGGACAAGGGGAAGGTAGAGAGAAGGGTAAGAGGGAAAACAAACAGGCATACAAACTAACAAATGAAAAGAGACATAAAGACAGAAAAGATTAAAGAAAACTAAAATATACACACAATCATATAAATACAGAAACTGACAAAAAAGCCCCTACTGATGTACTCTCCCTCAAAAATACCAGTACACAAACAGAAAGTCTAAAAAAAAGCAATAAAATAGCAGAGACAAAGCAAGTATGAAAAAGTAATCAAAAACAGAAAGAAAGAGAAAAAAGAAAAATTGAAGCAAAAAACAAACAACAAACGAGCAAACAGACAGACAAACAAACAAAAAAACCAAAACTCCCTCTGGGGTTGTTCCTGTAAGTCCAAATTCCTTTAAGCTTTGACCTCCAGCCCCTCCTCTCTGCTTTCAGTATAGGCTGATAGGGTTGCTCTCAACATGGTCAGAAGCCCCAGGCTTAGTGTGGGAGGAGAGTGGATCAGATCTGGACTCACCCGACTTGCTGCCTGTCAAGTCTCCCACTCAGATCTGAGGTGTCTGTGTCTGATCCAGCATAGAGGAAGACCTTCTGTCTCTCTGAGTTTGAGGAGATGACCTTAGGTCCCAAGTTGGAGGCTGGGAGGAGCTGGGTGGGGTAATGCAGGTCTCTGTCTGGTCCTGGGATGGAGAAAATGGCTACAGTCAGCGTTTCCTCACAGGAGTGGGAGCTCCTCTCCAGTTCTCCCTCATCTGGATCCGAGGCTCCAGCCACTTTGCTGTCATAGGTGATGGTATGGGTTGGATGCCAGGTGATGAAAGTCAGCTGTATTCGGCAGGCTTTTCTCAGGAGAATCCCCAGAGGAGCAGATGATCCTGCATGCCAGCAGCTTTAATCTCAGGGTTGTGGGGAGTTGCAGTCACCTCTGGAGGAGAGCCCCGGGTACATGAACCCAAGTCTCCCCTCAGACAGGCTTTCACTCACCTATCAGCATGCATCCACTCACTCAGGGAGTCTTGATGGACCCTCGCTTTTGTGGAGACTCTCACAGTCCGACCTGTCCATCGCCATTTTGCCAGAAATCCTCCCAACTATTATTGTTAATCTGTCTATTTCTCCTTTAGATGTTGTCAGTTTTTGCTTCATGTATCTTGGGGCTCTGTTGTTAGGTGCATATATGTTTATTTTACATTCACTTATTCTTTCTCTAATGTTCTTCTTTTCTTTATGTAGTCTGAGTTTCTGACCTATAGCATTTTTCCTTATTTCTGAAGAACTTATTTTAACATTTTTTGCAAGCAGGTCTATTGGTGACAAAATCCCTCAATTTTAGTTTGCCTGAGAAATTCTTTATTTCTCCTTCACTTTTGAAGGATTATTACACCAAATTTAGAATTCTGGGTTGTTGGGGCTTTTCTTTCAATATTTTAAATACTTTATCCATTATTTTCTTGCATAGTCTGAAGATAAGTGAATATGTGCCAAACTCTTGTTTCTTTGCATGTCTCATAAATGAATACTGGACTTTTTGAATAATGTGGTAATTATGAAAATTATATTCTCACTCCTTTCCATGTTTTGTTGTTGTTGCTATTTATTATTGTTCATTTGTTTAGTGAATTTTCTAAACTTTTAAGTCTATATTCTCAAGAGGAGGCCCAAACTTTACCTGAACGATGACCATTTATGTACCTAACCCTGAATTGTACCCCACATCTTTAAAATAAAAAAAAAAATAAAGTCTATATTCTTTGTTATGTATGGTCACTGAAGCCACTGATTGGTTAGTTTAGTGGTCAGCTTATGGTTGGACAGATATTTCCTTAAATGCCTAGAAATAGTTGTCTCCCAGTTTTTGCTGAGAGATTCTTTGTGTTGGAGCATTCCTCTAATACTCAGGCAGGCAGTTTACAAGTACTCTGTCTTAGCCTTCACTTCCTGCTTATACAGAACCTGAGTCAGCCATAAGTGAGATTTTAGGGCCCTCTCATATCCTCCCTGAACATGCACATAGTCTTGGGAATGTTCACAGTTCTATGTGTGTGGGTGGCCTTCTAGAATTCCAGGAATATGTGGGCATTTGTCCAAGCCCCTGTAGGTGTATCATCCTCAGATTTCCCCTTTAAACTTTTTTAGCCTATTATTTGCCCAAATATCTACCCATTCTGACACCTGTGATTTTAAGTAAAAATTGCCACTGATTTTTTTTTTAACAAATGCCTCCTTACAGTGGGCTATTCTCACTGGGCGAACTCTAAATCAGTTCAAATAAAGAACAGTCTTGTGAGAGGGGTCTTTCAGAGAATCATCATATCAAACGATAATTTTCTGGTAATGGGGCTTTAAAAGTGTTCCAACCCTGTTCTGCCCTCTCCAGTGATGACCAGGCTGCTGAATTTTCACTGTGATTGCAAGTTGTCGATTTTCAAGGCTGCATCAGAGTTTGTGTGGAAGGGGCGGTAGGGGAAGTGGAATGGGAATAGGGCAAGTTAAAATGCCACCAAACCTGCTCTTCATATTGAGATTCAGCCATTTTTTAAAATGAATAAATGCTCCCCAGTTTGCTATAAGCCTTTGGTAAAGTTCCAGATTCAGAAAAAATTGATTCTGACAATTTTTGCCAGTGTTCTCATTGATTTTATGGAGGAGAATATTTCCAGAAGTCCTTACTCCTCCATTTTGTTGCTGTCATCCCCAGTTCTGACTATGTGTTGAATTTATAGTGAGGCACTCCAAGAGAGCTCAGATAATCCAAACTTTCTTCTCTTTACTGACCAAAGAAATGAATCAGTGATAGTCAAGATGGTAGATGAATTTTTCTATCCAACAGCCTTTTTTCTCTTTCTATTTTTGAAGTTTATTGGATCTGCTAAAACAAGTCATCCAAAATTATGACTTTGTTCACCTTAAGAATAGTCTTTGTGACATCAGCAAAGCAGGTCATGATTTTTACACTCTTCAGCTATCCTTTCAGAAAAGGGAGAGAGAGGCAATTGGCCACATTTGTTACGTATGCTTTAAGATAATATAATCTGTTTTCTTTTATATCACAGGGATTTAATGAGCAAAATGGCGAATATACCATATTGGCTTACTTCGTATCATCCCACACAGAAATTCACATATTCGAGACCCCATTCTTCACCATGTAGAGTATATTCAAGGAATGGTTTCCAAAATATGTTCAGACCTTCTTCAAGTGAGTATTCATGAGTAAATAAGAACACTAACAGTAGATATTACATATATATGTATAATATGGACCAGACTTTGTTCAAAGACTTCACATGACATTGAATCCTCACAATCACTCTATGAATTGGATTCTATTTTTGTCCCTATTTCCTATATGGGAAAACTGAGACACAGAATGATCAAGCCATTTGCCCAAAAGTTGCATAGTTTTTAAGTGGCAAGGTCAGGATTTAAACCTAGGCAGTGTGATTCCAGAATTCATGGACTTAACTACTATGTTATCTAGTATACTGACTCACTCAGTTTTTTAAACAATTCTTTTTTTGAGTAGTTTTAGGTTTACAGAATATTATTGAGCAGAAAGTATAGAAAGTTTCCGTACACCCCCCACTCCCACTCCTAGTTTCCCCCATTATCAACATCTCATATTAGTGTGGTACATTGTTACAATCGATGAACCAATATTGATACATTGTTATTATCTAAAGCCTATAGTTTACATTGGGGTTCACTCTGGTGTTTAGCATCCTATGAGTTTAGATAACTTTATAAAATGGCATGTGTCATCATTATATATTATACAGAATACTTTCACAACCCTAAAAATCCATCATGCTCTACCTACTCATTATGCCTTCCCCTTAACCTCTGGCAATCGCTGATCTTTTTATTGTCTCCATAGATTTGTCTTTTCCAGAATGTCATATAATTGGAATCATATAGTATTATAGCCTTTTCAGATTGGCTTCTCTCATTTAATAATATGCATTTAAGGTTTTCTCATATCTTTTCATGGTTTGATAACTTATTTCCTTTTAGCACTGAATAATATTCCATTGTCTGGTTGTACAGTTTATTTATCCATTCACCTGCTGAAGGAATCTTGATTGCCCCCAAGTTTTGGCAATCTTGAATAAAGCTGCTAGAAACATCTGTGTGTGGGTTTTTGTGTGGACATAAGTTTTCAACTCCACTGGGTAAATACCAAGGAGTGCAAGTGCTGGATCTTATGGGGAAACTATGTTTAGATTTGTAAGAAACTGCCTTTGTAAGATTGTGCCTTTGTTATATCTAAAAAGTCATTGCCAAACCACAGGTTATCTAGATTTTCTTCAACATTATCTTCTAGAAGTTTTATATTTTTGAGTTTTACATTTGTGTTTGTGATCCATTTTGAACCAATTTTTTTTTTTTTTTTGAGTTGGAGTCTCACTCTGTCGCACAGACTGGAGTGCCGTGGCCACTCCCGGCCACCGCAGCCTCGACCTTCTGGGCTCTGGCGATCCTTCTGCCTCAGCCTTCTGAGTAGCCGGAATTACAGGCATGCGCTACCATGCCCGGCTGATTTTTTGATTTATTGTAGAGATGAGGTCTTGTTGCCCAGGCGGGTCTTGAACCCGCGGGCTCAGGCAATCCACTCACCTCAGCCTCCCAAAGGCACGGGATTACAGGCTGAGCCACCAAGCCCAGCTTGAACCAATTTTTATAAAGGGTATCAGGTCTGTACTTATTTTTCTTTTACACGTGGATATCTACTTGTTCTAGCACCATTTGTTGAAAAGACATCTTTTCTTCATTGTATTGTACTCATTTCTTTTTAATCACTGAATAATATTTTATTATATACTTTAGCACAGCTTGTTTATACATTTACCTGTTGGAGAACATCTTGGTTGCTTCCATGTTTTGGCTATTATAAGTAAAGCTGCCATAAGCATTTGTGCACTGGCTTTTGTGTGAATATACATTTTCAACTCTTCTGAATTCCTTACTCAGTTTTAAAAACAATAAAATTTGACATGATTATTTCACAAAAGTATATGTCCTTTAATTGTATTCATTAGTTTCTTTCTTTCTTCATTTATTTATTCACAAACATTTTCTAAGCTATAATATGTGATATGCACTGTAATAGGTGCTAAGGACAAAGAGATGGATCTGATGGAAGGCCTGCCCTAAGGAGTTCACAGTCTAGGAGAGGGAGATAAAGAATTCAAGTAGAGTGAGACAGATACCATCATTAACACACATACAAACCACTCTGTGAGTACAACCTGAGCAGTTGGCAGGACCCAGAAGGGCCATTATGAAAGAAGAAATTGAGTTTTGCCTTGTAAGTGAGGGAAAGCCATTCTAGTCAGAAGTCACACTGGATACTTGTGCTTACTTAACAGTTTTCCAGACTTGAATCACATGGTCACTTTCATCTGTTAGGGAGCCCAAGAAATACAGTCTCCATTTCAGACAGCCATATGATCTCCCAGATCTCAGTGGTCTGTTTCCATAGAAAAAGAGGAGACTGGATATAAGGGGTTAATATAGCAGTTATGACATAAAAACATGCCATTAGCAGTAGATCAATTCCAGCTCAATAGCTCCATGTCCACAGCCTAATTTGGATATGTCTTAGTTTATTTAACTGATTTTCTGATAGTACCAAGGGGATCAGAGTGAAGTGGGATTTCTGGATTAAAGGGCACCTATACTCCTGAGGCTCTTGATGAGTACTGCCAAATTATCCTTCAGGAAGCTCATACCCATACATTTCCACAAATAATACGAGTGCTCATTTCTAAGTATCCTAACAGAGAACAGTATTTTTTAAGATCTTGCTGATTTGATATGCCAAAAAATATTCCATTATGAATTTAATTGGCATTTCATCAATGGCAAGGTTAACTTTTATTCTCATATTTAAAAGGTTTATGTCTTTTTATTTTGTGAGTTGTCTGTTTGTATCCTTTGCCCATTTATCTACTGTAAATCGGTCTTTTTTAGTGATTATTATGAGCTCTCTTTGTTTTTAGGGTATTTGCCTTACGTACCAGAGGTATTTTTCTTCTTTAACATGTGCTTTTTATTTCTATTTATATATGATATTTTTGTAATGCACTAAAGTACTTTTTACTTTTTAAAAATGGAATATATATATATAATCCTCAGCAACACTTTCCTCTAAGGAGGGCACCATCAACAGTTTGGCTGGTCTTTTTCATGCATGCACATATATTTGCAGATATATACTTGCATAACATATATTAAGTAAGCAAATTAATATTATATACCCTGTTTCCTTTTTTATCCTTGTGTTTAAATTTGAATATTTTCTATTGACCTGATTTTATATTCACTAGTTTTTTTTCTATCATGTACAATCTGTTACTAAGCAAAACAAATGAATCCTTACTTTTGATTTTGTGTTTTTAATTTCTAGCTTTTTCACATGCTCTTTAAAAATAGTTTTTAATTTTAACCCCTATCTGTTCAGTATGTTCTCAACACTTTTTCTTTAATCTCTTTAACATATTTCTCACTCTTAGTTTAAAGCCTGATAATTTCTACATTCATTCTTTCTGTGGGTCTTCTTCTGATGACTCTTTTTGTTCTTGATTAGATCACCTTTTTTTTCTTTACTTGTCTTGCAATTAAAAAAAATTAGTGGCAGACATTTGTGTAAAAAATAGTGGGGACAAAAATCAATAATATTTGCCATCAGAAAAGGAATGCCTCTTCTTCTCCCAGGCTTCTAAAGAGGTAGCTTCACTCAATTTAATCTCTAAGGCGAACTGTGTCTTGACTTTTTTGCAGTTTTAGTTATACTTAGGTTGTCCCTGGTTTCATATGCTTGCCTTCAGCAGATCATGAGATATGAGTACTGGTGGGACTCCAGAGATAATCTGTGTTTTACAGTCCAGTTGCCAGCTTGATATACATGGGGGAGATCTTGCTCTGTTTCACAGCCCACCTTCCAGTTTTGGCAGGTTCCTTGGGAGTTATCTTTTTTATCTTGCTCTGTCCTTGGCTTTCTTCTCCTCAGGAAATCCCTGTCCACCCTGTGGCCCTGCATCCAACCTGCAGTGGGCCACTGAAGTTTACTTAGTGAAGGTCCCATATACTTTGCAGGGTTTGCTCAGCTCTTCTTCCCTGTATTCAGCCTTTGGTAAGCATCTGCCTTGGTCTTGTGTAAAACCCTGTGTGCCTTTGTATATTATGCAGCTCTCCTGTCCCTCCCCCCAGCCTCTGGTATGCTATATATGTGTACTGGGTGAAGGCCTAAGAGAGTGGACCCAGACCAGTCCAGTGACTGAGGCTCCTAGGAGCTGAATTCACTCAATGGTCCACATGTGGCTCCTGAGTATTGGGCTATTTTCTTTGCACCCTGTCTGTAATCAATTTGCTTTCTTCCTGCTGCTTTGCAGAGATGGAAAGAGATGGTGAGGCCTGGCTTCTCGGTGAGGCCTGACTTGTCCTTTCTGGAATTAATTTCTTTGCATCCTCAGATCTCCAATGAGTTTTACAACTTCATGTATTTTTTAGCTTATCCTACTTATTCTCATTGTTAGGGTGACAGTGACAGTCTGTTGTGACTTTCTATATTCCAAACGGATATAGGAAATTTTGTCAAATAACCCTCTAGAAAGATTATATCAATTGGTACTCCCACCAGCAGATTATGCAAGTTTTGTTATTGCTTTCACTTGAAATCTCAGAAGTTGCATTATGAAATAAGATGTTTTTCTTTAAGTAATTTAAAATAGTTTCAAATTAGTATTTTCTAATTCTACTAAACAGGGCTTTATGCTCAGTCCTCTTCTCTCTGTCTGCCCTCTCTCTACTCTCCTTAGGTGAGCTGCCTGGCTCCATGTCCTGAAATGCCATCTGTAACCGAAATAAGAGCTCCATTCTGACCTCCCCACTAAGCTTCTGATCACATATCTAGTTGCCTCACTTACCTTTCTGTTTGTGCCTCATCCAATGGGCATCTCCAACGTGAACCAGCCAAGCAGATTCCTAGACAAGTGATCTCCATCTCAAAGGCACCATCATTTATCTAGTTCCTCAAGTCCAGCATCAAGGAGTTAGCCTTGATTTCTCCTTTTTCTTTAACACGCTTCTCCCACGTCACCCCCCAACCAATCCATCAGCAGACCTTCTTGTCTACAGAATTGACAGACCAGATCGCCCATCTGTCTGCTTTTTTTCCACAGTCAGGGCTACCCCCTG